AAAATATATATATATATATATATATATATATAATTTTTTTTTTTTTTTATATATTTTTTATGAAAGAAAGATATATATATATATATATATATATATATATATATATATATATATATATATATATATATATATATATATATATATATATATATATATATATATATATATATATATATATATAAACACGATAAAGAACTAGATTGGGTACCTTCATATCTGGAAAGCTATCATCAATAGTATTTTGCAAAGGTGCTTGCCTAGGCGCTCAGGCGAGACGTGGCAAGACTCGAGCGCCTCTAGAAGCCTCAAGGTGGGGCGTTTTACTAAAGAGCCACTCGGCCATGCACTTGGGCCCAACACTAGGCGACTCAAGTGCGCACTCAAGACAAAGTGGTCGCTATTCGACTCAAGTTCGAGCCTGGACGATTAAGTTGGTTTAATCAAACCAACTAATACCCTATGACCGACCCAGTGAAAGCAACGAGCAAAACCCTCCTGTTGCCTTCGTTTGCTTTGTCCATCGCTGCAGCTTCATTCGCAGCCGTCGGCAACTTCGTCTGCCACCTTAGTCCACTTCATTCGCTTCGTCTGCTACCATCTGCAACTTCGTTCGCTGCCATCTGCAACTTTGTGCACCGCTGGTTTCCACTTTCCCCCCATCTTCGTCCACAACCTTTCTTCGATTACTTCTCAATCTCCTCTCTTTCTCATTTTATAGGTAATTAGCCTTTCGCTGATTACTTTGATGCACCCGTTTGAGGTAGATGCATCATTAGGAGTTAGAATTTAGAACATAACAGTACAATTACTTTGATGAACCGGCTTAAGGTGGGCGCACCAACTTGTTTTGACATTTTTGTTATTAGAAGATGAACAATATAATTTGGTACTTTATATAATTCCAATTTGATGTGTCGTTTTTATTTTTTTGATCATACTTATCAATCGTAATATGTTTTTTAAATTTTAATATTCGAGAGCGTCTTGTTTCGCTCGGGCGATCACCTAGACGAGTGCCTAATGCCTTGAGAGTTTTGGGACCTTGACGTCATTTGGCGCCTAGCACTTTTAAAAACACTGATCATCAATATTATCATGTATATGAACTACAGTAGGAAGTCTAATTTGTTCCTTGCCTCATAATAGTAAGTATTGTTCCTAAGATTAGTAATAAGCTACAAAATGCAAACTGATTTCTCCAGAAACAATATCAAAATTCATAAAATCAATAAAAGCCCTCCGAAGTTTTTACCATCACAATTTCAGAAGTATAACAAGACTTTTATGATTTCACAAGCATGCATTAAAAGGATAAAGATCCGTAGGAAGCTTTTCTTACCATTTGAAATATGCAATTTGTAATATGAAGTCCTAAGACCACTTGGCATCCAAAAGATAACTATAGTGTTTCATCAAGTTTTATGTTGTTTAAATCTGCAGCATTACCAAAGTCAACATAAGTTATTATGGCACATAATTTAATGCCCTAGGATAAATTTAAGACAAAAATTCACTTGTTCGTATATCTAGAAATAAAGCAGACAATTTGATTCACAATCACTTAAAATTTGGCTCATGAGAGAACAATTTTTTAAGAATGAATACTGTCTTTCGGTTTAAAATTTAGATGAAACAATGAAGAGGAAATAATCATTCTAGCATGTAAAAACCTGTAACAAAACCAGAGTGATTCCATCCAGCAGAAACGTAGGACATAGTTAAGCTCTCAAGGAATTTTACAGGCTTCGGTCGGGAACAGCTTTCGAACTTCCCATGACCAAGTTGACCATGTGTACCTCTTCCCCACGTCAAAACTTTACCATCACCTACAAAAGGTCAAGTCATGTGAAGCATTTCACCTAAATAACTTAAATGCTTCTAGAATCTGTTACAATAATAACTATACAGGACCGGATAGGTGGAATCTCAAATACTAGATGTGAAGAAGAAAACAGTAGGTCAACAGTAAGAAATAAAACTTTAGAAGTTTCAAACCATAATCATGCTCAATCTAAGATGTGGGAGAGGATGAGAACAGCTACTAGGTTCCACATCAAGCAGCGAAAACTTTAGGATAACCTCAGTATTAAAAAAGAAAAAAAGATAAATAGAGACAAAATAAAGCTAAATTGAGAATAATCAAAGGCACTATGTGGAGTTCATCAAAACATCCAATGAAGTGTGTTAAAGAAAGAGGATCCAAGACAAACTTTTATGAAAGGTAATATATTAAAATTACATCTAAAATCAACACTTGAAACCAAACTATTTCTCAAGTACATTGGCGAACATTATATTGAAAAAGAACTTTACATCTAAAACCAACACTAGCAATTTAATGGTAATTTCTTATACACATAAAATTACTGATAAATAGGGTAAGATACCATTAGACCTAAGCAGTAAACATCCATTCTAAGAAGATCAATGATGGCAAATAAAACAAGTAATATCACTCCTGGAAATTATGTATCCACGAAGAAAAAATGATCTATTATGAATATAATAATGATCTGTGTGTGAACAGTACACTAAATGTCTAAGGTGATATAAAAGTCCTTTGTGCTCAAGAAGAACCATGGAGAGACATTTTTTGCTTATAAATTATTCTTCCTTTTTTTTTTCTTTTGAGAGGGAATACTGGGCCTGCAACAGAGCAGAGACTGAACCCCAGACCCTTCATGGCAGATCATTCATGGAAGGAGAGATGCTATGCCATCCAAGACAAGGGTTGGTGCTGAAAATCCACGTTCCTCATTATAGCTAAAGCTCACACAATCAAGAAGCAACTCTGTAAAATTGGTGGAAAGGGTTAGTTTTTATTTTTTATTTTTTTTATCTAGAAGGACAAATTCATCAAAATATAGCCAAAGATGGATTATATTTACCATCATGTGAAGGCGTCAAACCGTGTGGCAAACTCATCAAGAATCAATCAACGAATTTTTTGCAATGTCCAAGTGATTCCCTTTAATGTTTCCCTTAGAATCAATCAACAAGGAGTGTCATCCATCATTTAAAAGAAGAAACTCTAGCTATTAATTCTATATCAAGCAAAATAAGGATATTTCATGAAGAAAGAAGTAAAGTACCGAATACTGAATCGAGTGACGACAAAAGCCCTACAATTTTGCGCTAAAATCTCAATCAACAGAAACAGAAACTCATTCCAGGTTGGTTGATGGGGGGAGTTAGTACCAGTGAGGGCGACGGCGTGGGCGCCACCGCAGGCGACCCTAGATACGGCGGTGGGAAGGTGCGGGAGGGGCTGGGGGAGGTGCTGGTCTTCGATGGTGCCGGTCCCAAGCTGCCCGTCGGTCCCCGCGCCCCAACTCCAAGCATACACTTCCTCCTCCTCCTCTGCCGCCGCCATCTCCACCGCCTCTTCAGCTATCTCCATCGTATTCGACTCTTCGACTTCTTTCGTTTCCCTTACGGCGATTCAGAACACATTTATAATATGGTTAGGATTTGAAATAAAAATATCAATTTTGGTTTTCTTTAAGATAATTTGTGATATAATTCCATATACAATTTGGATATATATGTATATGTATGTATATATATATATACATCAATATATATATATATACATATACATCAATATATATATATATATATATATATATATATATATATAACTTAAACTAGTTAATATGAGTTGTATTGAGATGGTTAACTTAAGTACTATGAAGGGAAATAAATTTCATATATATTGAAGTTATATATATATATTTGGAGAGAAATTTCATATGTTTTGATGATTTCTGATGCATTTGGCTTTAATAAACACATCCCTTTTTGCTGCTTTCTCTATTTATGGTAGTCTCAAGCAAAGGTTCGTCGTACCGTACCGTACCGACGTTTCGACCCAGGCTCGATACGGTATGGTACTGGTGTCCTGGGCGGTACATCAGGGTGTACCGAGCAATACACCTTGATTTACCGAATAATTTTATATTTTTTATATTGTAGCAGTGCTACAGTATAATACTGTAGCACTATAGCAGTATCGGACGGTCCGTGTACCGATAGCCTGTCAGACCGATATCGAACGGTACGTTTCGATATGACAAACCTTAGTCTCAAGGTACTGTTTTTATACGTGACAAATGGCTCTTGTTACTGAAAGTGCTATTGCACACAACACAAATTTGAGGGGCAATTTTGTTCTACTCAACTTAGCACTGATAAACTTCATTGATTTATTTAGTAGAAAGAAATGTAACTTGTTTGATCAAATTGATCCACAACTTATAAGCAAGTTGCATCCAACACAGCAGATTGAAATGACTGTTCTTTTCTGAAACACCTACTGCATGAATGTGAGTTTTGAACCAAATTGATGCAACTACTTCTGATGATGAGCTCCTCGTGATGCTAATGTACAAGTTGTGGAATTCAGTAGGGGTTACATCTTTTAGCTCCATGTTTGATCCAGAAGAAGGTTAGCTACCATGAGATGTGCCCCTTGAGGAAGCCCTTGCAGAGCCTTTTCCAAGCCTCTTGATCTGGTTCTTGTGCATCCAAGCTTGCCTTTGCTGCTTCAGCATGACAAGTCTGCAAAGAGTACACTTGTATCATCTTTCAATAGAAAAGAATTGTATATTTGCATTTTTTAGAGTTGCAAACCTGAAGTTTCCTCAGAAAAGATTTGATGTTCAAAGTTCTTGAGAATTAGAAATTGACACCGACTATTAATTCCTTCATTGTCATCATCATATTTAGCTAGTCTGAAGAATGAAACAATGCATGCTTTACTCTTTTCATGGTGCTAAATGATGATGAATATGAACAGTAATACCATCTTTTTTTTAAAAAAGAAAAAATCTATTAAGATCTAAAAATCTACAAAAGAAAAAAACTGTTGGATCATAATTTTCCTGGATTCTGAACAGATGTGATCACAACCAAGGATTTGAATCTAATCTACAGTATCAGTTTATCGAACAGTATACCGATCTGTGCAGTTCAACATCGTTCAAAAAAGATAATACCTATACCTACACCAGATCATCATCAGACCAATAAATACCGATGGATACAAGGTACCTGAATGAGATTACGCTGGAGCAAACGATCGACGAGGTGCAGGAGAATGTCTTTGTTGTACTCCGGGTGACCCTGGATGCCCATGATGTGATCTCCACATCTGAACATCTCGACGCCGGTCTTCTCCGAGCAAGCCATCACTTCCGCATGGGGCGGCAGCTGCCACACCTGCACGGCAAGCGGGTCATCAGCATGAGCTGAATGCATGGAGGAGAGGACACAGCAAGGTTGAGTTCTTTAGCCGTCTTCGCCAACCTCGTCGCGGTGGAATTCGATGACAGGGAGATGAGAGGGGATGCGAAGAGAAGCCAGCAGCTTGATGGTGGAGTGAGAGGGGTGGATGCAGGTCACTCCTATATCCCATCCTTTCTTTGCTCTGCCAGTCTTCCCTCCCAAAGCTCGGCTCAAAATCTGCATACAGACAAAGATGTCATCAAACTATGCCTCATGGTCATGGTTACCGAAAGAACACATTGATCCGAGAGATAGATATCCCACATCAACAAGGTTCTTCTGATCTATTCTTTATAAAACACATCGACAGTTTTACCCAGTTGATGATGTCTATACCATATATCCAAGACAGAGAGAGAGAGAAAGCAGTCACCAGTTGTCATTTTCTGAAAGGAAGAAACTGGAAATGGGGATGAGGAGGGCCAGTGGCAGTGCAGTGACAAGAGTGTTGTGCCATGGCTCCTTTACTGTGGTTACTAAATTAGATGGTGCTTCACTCTGTGGTCAGTGGATAGAGATGGTGGATCTCCTCCGTGGTCCCCATGGTGCAACAAATCTTCTTAGATAGCTACTTGGCAATGCTTGATCCTGCATTGTGCAGCTTTAATGACCACCCACTCTTGTGGATGTTCCAAATGAATTGTCTCCACATGATACCTGATCCCTAGACATCACCACATGATATGTTGTTCCTAGAGAGTGAATCTTGCTGTCATGATAAAGTTTGTTCTTTTTGAGATCCAATTAAGCAGTGTTCCCGCTACCAAACTAAACTCTTCCCTTCCTTGCAAAGATGACACTAATAAGACTCGAGTACAATAGTATTTCTCAGATTTCACATTGATGGAAGCATCACTTTTTTAATGGATGTCAAATCAAGTTAAGAGGAAAAAAAAAAATAGTACTATTGTCATAAAAAAAATTCTTGTTTGAATGCCATCTAGGAAGGCTTAAAATAAAAAAAGAAAATAAAAGATGAAGAGACAAAATTTCCAGGGCTCCAACCCCAAGAAGAAGACTGACCCATTTGTATTCTGACCTTATTAAAAAGGTAAACAAATAAACGACTTAGCTTCTCATTGATTGAAAACTATCAAGGCTAATCTGTAGTCCTAATGGCAGATCAGTAGGTTTCATCAAAATAATGGAGGCATACAGATGAGCTCAGAGAGGACATAGACTGGACTTAGAATCAGTCTCCCCAGTCACATCAAAGTTGGTAAGAGTATGATCAAGCTGTGGAAATAGGTATGGCAGTTTCCAGATTCTTTGATTGTGTCCCTGTTTATGCATGCACCACATTATTCCCGTCAAAGTCTTTTCCTGATCTCCTCCTTCAAATGGGGGCTTTTCGACCATGGTATAAGCATGAAAGACACCAATCTATTCACAATCATAAAGTAATCAACCTTCGTCTGATGAGACTTCTTACCTGCCTAGGCTTGTCAATGATATTCTTGGCTTATGTATCTGTCACATCCAATCTCTACCGACAGAGCTTTAAATCTAACATTGATCACATTGTTTTTACTCTCTCATCTCTCTAAAAGAAATTGCTACGAGAAAAATCTCCAAGATCATGTTTTCTGCGTGCTCCAACTATTACCGGTTTCCACTGTGGGGTAATTTCACAGACAGAAGATATGCACTACTGAGGAGAAGAGGGTATACCTGGTGGCCAAAGCAGACACCGAGGACCTTCTTCTTGAGGGAATCCAAGGCCTTGAGGAAGGAGACGAGGTCGTTGATCCACTGGTCGTCGCCGTGGGCGTCGTTGCAGCTGCCGGTGATCACGAAACCGTCGTACGTGCCGACGTCCTCCATGCACGGCAGCTCGCGGCGCGCCGCGCGGTACACGTCCCACGTCTCCCCTTCCTCCCCCAGCAGCCCCACGAACACCTTGAAGTACCCTCCGTAAACCTTCTTCACGTACTCCGACTCCTCGGCGCACAGCAGCACTGCGAACTTCCGCCTCCCCTTCTTCCCCACCTCCCCTCCATTTTCCCCTCCCATCCTCCTCTCTCCTCTCTCTCTCTCTCTATCTCTATTATACCGTTTGCAGAAAGCAAGGAGCTCTCTTGCTTCCTATGATGTATGGAAGAAGAAGAAGAAGAAGAAGAAGAAGAAGAAGAAGAAAGCTCCCCTCTAGAGAGAGAGAGAGAGAGAGAGAGAGAGATAGAGAGAGGCTAAAGTGATGGGGAGAACGTGCTTTATAGAGGAGAAAAGGCGAGTGGTGGCAAGAGTTCCATGTTCAGTTATGGGGACCGAAGCAATCCTAGTGATGATGTGTCATTACATGATTGGTGGGTGTAAGACTTGATGTGTTGGCATGCAGAACAAAGAAACAGTGAGGAGAGAACAAAGGAACAGATGCAGTTCATGTCCCAAAATGTTCCAAATGAATGCAATGCAGCTTTGATTCTGACCAAGAAATAATTAAATTTTGATTCCTTGCAGCACAGATTTGAGCAATTTTGGAGTGTGAAGGGACTAACTCAGAAGGGATTAATTAAATTATTTGGATCCCTTGCATCACAGATTTGATTAGGTTTGGAGTGTTAATGCCACAATGTATGTTGGCATATTATGCAAACTTGAGTCTTAATATTGTGACATCAAGTGCAATCTTGATGAACAATCTCAAATGATTAAGGTGTGTTAGTATAAAGTAGTAATTTTAGCAGAAATTAATTTTTACCTTCATACCTACATTAAATAGCACACAAGATATTTATACATGGACTGAAACATGATATCTATCATTGTAACAAAGATCTTATTTATTAGTTTGATTGAAAAAATAATGCAAATTTATTGAATTTAAAATTTCTTTCTCAATTAAGCAATATTAGTTTATGAGAAGCATACTCTCATGTTACACTTATTAGCATCTTAGTATCTATAAAAGAAAATAAAATAATTATTATTATTTATAAAGGATAAGTTGTGAAGATATGATTTTTTTATAATGTCTTTATAGACTAAGCTGGTTAGCCAATTCAAAATTTATCAAATGATATTATAATTTTTTTTAATATTTATTAAATAAAAAATTAGTGGATGATCGAATATTCAAACCAAATATCCCAAATAATATAAAGATAATTAAAACCGAGAAGCTTGGCATATGAC